CAACCATTTAGTAAATACATTATTTTTCCAGAGTATATTCAATTTTAGCCTTTCAAGGCAATAACTCTCGCCCTGAATTTCAATCATCAGGTGCTTATTTGTTCCGACCATTTACACCAAATCCATTGCCAGTAAGCAATTCACGTAATATGTAAGTACAAAATATTAATCTTCATCAAAATCTATAATACTAAGTAAAATTAGAACATGTACCTATATGGGTCAGGTACAAATAGCATTGATTGTATATAATAATTGGGTTAGTCAAGAGATGAGAATTTATGATGAAACAAGAACCGTTGAAATTGAATGGATTGTTGGACCAGTTCCAGTTGAAGATAGTATTGGTAAAGAAATAATAATGCGTTATGATACAGATATTCAAAGTAATGGAACTTTTTATACGGATGCTAATGGACGTGAAGTACTTGAACGTAAAAGAGATTATCGACCAACATGGAATTACACAGTACATGAAAATGTTAGTGGAAACTATTATCCTGTTGTAAGTCGTATTTGGATTAAAGATAACCAAAAGCAACTGACTGTATTGACAGGTAAAGAAAACAAATATTTGAATATTTACATAGATTTATTTTAGATCGATCTGAAGGTGGCTCAAGTATACATGATGGTTCTATTGAACTAATGGTTCATCGTCGTTTAGTTTATGATGATTCATTAGGTGCTGGTGAACCAATGAATGAACCTGCTTATGGAAAAGGTCTTGTCATACAAGGTAGACATGTTCTTGTTATTGAACCACCAGAATCAAGTGCACTTTATCATCGTCATGTTGCTCAAAGTCTTTTCATGAATCCACTCAATACTTATGCATTACCAAAACTACCTTATACTAATTATTCAAATAGCTATCATCAAACATGGTCAGCTTTAGTTGAATTATTACCATATAATATTCATTTATTAACTTTTGATCCATGGAGTTCAAAAGTATTTCTCATTCGTATTGAACATTATTTTGAATTGAATGAAGATAAAACATATTCAAAACCAGTTCAAATTGATTTACAAAATTTATTCAATACATTAGGGAAAATTAAGAATTCAATTGAATTAACACTCGGAGGAAATTTACCATTGAATGAAATGAACCGACTGGTTTGGAAAACGAATGATAATCAATCATCATATTGGAAACCAATAAGTATAAAAAACATAATAGTTTTACATTAAATCAATATATTCATTTTTGATAATTTAGATTCGAATCTATTACAAAGTACCATCGTAACACTCAATCCAATGGAAATTAAAACTTTTCAAGTCACATTACAATAAATCAAATATAAATAAATAAATTTTTCCAGAGGCTTATCACCTGTTGGGACCTGCTGCTAGGGTCCCCATGCAGCCGGGTTCTTTCGTCTTCTTCTTTTTAAAGACAGCTATATATGCATCCCTTCCGTCTTACATATTGACTAACGATGTAATCAACATGCTAACGAAGGTGTGGGTATGGGATTGGTGCGAGTGTGGATGTAGGCTACGTGTGGGGTGGGTGTGGATGTGGGTGTAAGTTTTGGGCACTGATTACCCACACCAACATGCACACCCCTCCCCCTTGATATTGATCCTGAAAAAATAACTCTGGTTCTGAATCATATAGTAGAGAGCGAAGGTATACAAGGTCACTAATATAGATCACTTTGATGCTTTTCTGGTGGGTCACTAAAGCAAGGCAAAAGATTGACTGATCAAGCTGAAATTTATAGGAGTAACTAATGAGTATGAGCGGTACGATTCCTGAAAGTTTCATGAGAAACTGCTTTTGTTTTGTGTAGGGAACAATAACAACGCAAAACGTCCCCCGTGCTTTCGTGGGATAGAGCACAGTATAATACGCTTCTTGCCACCCTTTACTATCTTTATTCCTCTTCAAGCAAGAGTAAAAGACAACCACCAACGACTTTCTTATCATATCTTTCATCAGGTAGGCCACCTTTCAACAATTATAAAAAATGCTCTTTGAGTGTATAATGTCCGAACATCACTTCCCTTCCATATTAGTAGTAGAAAATCTAAAATCTATCGTTCTTGAGAGAGTCTGCATCATAGGACAGATCAACCCGATAGAAAAACACTTTCTATGCTCTGCTTAAATGCTTCAAAAGAAAACCGCTTGTTTAAAACTGTAAAATCAAGTCCCCTCCATAGGAAAACTTATTTTTTTCACTTCTCTAATATGCCCTCGGGTTAGTAAAGATGACAAGAGTACAGTTATTTTGGTTCATGTTTCTATTACTCTTTACACTGTGATAGTCGTTGATACTGATCCTGATCAGTGTTATATCACTGCAAACTCCGCTTAACAGAGTTTCCACTTATTGTTTCTTCATCAAATTAATCTAATATTTTCTTTCTGGCATAATATGCAAGTCTATCGGTCAGGTGTGGGTGTAGGTGCGGTTTTATATGTGAGCAGAGCTGAACTACATCCACACTCGTACACACCAGCACCCACACCCATAGACCCACATCCCACACCCACACACGTTCATATCTTATCAAATGAAATCGTATTCATCGTTTCCAATTCACTGTGAGAATGAGGATCGAGTTGATCGTCATCAAACATGGTTGATACTTACTTGTTTAATTATTGGTGTTTTTTCTTAATAATTGTCTCATTGTGCGTAGAATCTCTTTTGATCAATCTACGCACTGTCGTATAAACAATTTTCTTTTTCCTCATCTAGTTTCTTACTGCATCACAAGATCTTATTGTTCATCGACTTGTCACATTATTCGACAAACAATTGAAATATTCGTTAGTTCTAGAGTACTAATAGGGTGTGGGTGTGGGGTGTGGGTGAGTGTGGATGTGGTTGTATTTGGACCTGCGTGTGTTCTTCCTAAACTTCACCCATACCTACCCACACCCCACACTTCCACACGCACACCCACACCCATATCTACACCCACTCTCGGTGCAGTAGAATCTAGTACTATTTCGCTTCACTTTCATCGTTATAAGGCCAAAATGATTAGCTGCAACACACGTTGACGAATAATGGAGATAACATCATTAGGAATGTGGCATTTCATCACTATGATGTTTATGAAGTTCTCTTTAAAAAAACCGATTCATCTATTGTAACGGTTGATGACCGTTGTGTTTCACCTATCCTATGTTCTCTCTTCCTTTGTATTGTGACCTCTTCACCCAGCACTGACCTTCTGTCTCTATCTTTGTTCTTTCATGTGTGATCGCTCCTTCTAATATATAAGGCGCGTCCAATAAAAGGAAAGGGACAGTTGTGAGAGTGCAGATGACACAAGACACCATCGTGTCGAAAGACATAGGCAGTCACTCTCATAATTCGTCACATCTATGTCTTATATGATTATCCACTGTTTATTATCAGCAAAGTACATATTTTTCGATCTTGCAAAGTTGAGAGTTTTTCTTTCTAATATACATTCTAAAAATCGATGAGCATTGATATAAATATTGAAGAACAAATAATGGAAGAATCTTTAAGAATAGTAACAATGTCGATAGATGATTGTTGAAAAGAAGGCAAATCAATTGCATCTTTTCATTAACTCGATAAACAAATGAAGAACAAAACAAGTTTATTTATACGAATCAATTTTTTCATTG